AAATATCATATCTTCTCACTCATATGTGAAGGCTAGAAAATTTGATCTCATGGACATAGAGAATAGAATGATAGATACCAGAGACTGTGAAGAGTAGATGAGGAAGGGGGAATGAAGAGAGATTGATTATGAGTACTAACATACAGTTAGACAGAAGAAATTCTCATATTTAATAGCAGACTATGGTGACTCATACTTAGCAACAATATTACTTATATTTCAAAGTAACTAGAAGAGAGAACTTAAAATCATACCAACAAGTAAAAATGATAAACACTCGAGGTGGTGGCAACCTCAAAACAATGACTTGATGATTACACATTCTGTGCATGTAACAAATACATGTACTCCATAAATATGTAAAATATTATGTATCAATAAAAGAGAAAAAAATCCAAAAATAAATTCACTCCATATATTTTATTTAGTGGACTTTATCAGGAAATGAAACATCTTACATATGTGAATTTTCTACAAAATCGAAGCTTGAGTGCTAATCATTAAAATTTTGATCATATTGATGAAAATGTTTCTAAAATATATCATCCTACCAATTTTAAATTAGAGTTTTGAACACATTCACTGTCTTGCCCCAGGTTATGTGAAATTTTCCTGCTCTCTGCTTATAATATAGTCTACAGAACTTTTGGTCAGTCGAGCAAGCTGCTACATGTCCCACTGATGCACATAATGATGACATCATGCCAATTGGACCTGGGGGGCTGACAAAATACATAAGTGCCAGAATACAATTGACCCTCCATATTTAGTATAACAATTATTTATATAGCATTTACATTGTGTCAGGTATTATAAGTAATACCTGATGGAGCAGGGGGATAGAGCATTCAGTAGAAAGGGCAAAGACACAAAAACTCTTTCCCAACTCCTGCAACTACCCATTTTACATTTATTTTCTTTTGCAGTTCACTACTGAATAGCGGGGTTGTGCCTTTCATTTGGAAGACTCCCTCAGTTCTAATGATTGAGTGGGATCAGGTTGGAGTTCTGGTACCAGGAAGCATAATGGACTACTTAGACCAGCTCTTTCCTAATGTTTAAAGAAAGGAGGCAAAAGGATTCTTGAAGGGTACTTATTCCTCAGCTCCATATCATTATGGAAAGTGAGTACATAGAAATTATAGGCAGTGAGCCATAGCTAACAATAAATACTGCATTTGTCCAGAGCCTCCCAGCTGCATTCTATCTAGGCATTGCAAAGAAACCAGCATCTGACAAACCACAATTGTAGCAGCCTTTAGTTGTTGCCCAGTCCCTCTCCTTGGCTATCATTTTTTCCTTGAGTCATGGCAAGCAGGCCCTCACATAGCACTTCAGGCACATTGTTAGAGAAGCAGCAGAACACAGGGTACAAAAATTGAGCCTTGGAGTCAAACACTCCTGAGTTTAAATTCCAGTACCTATGTAGTCATAGAGCATTTTCATATTTTGGCTAACAATTCCTTTACACTGATAAATGTTTTCTTTCCTGGTCAGGAACCAAGCATCTTCTATGCAGAAATATTTAATGCTACCAAGTCTGGAGAAGTCATAAAAATGGGATCTAGGATAAGGAATGCTATACACATCCAAAGAGACCCAACTTTGTCAGGTGTCTTGGAACATGCTGACCAAGCTCTGTCATTATCTTGTTTCTTTCAGGAGGTCAAGGTAAACCCCAGTTCCAGTGCTTGCTTGCTTGCTTGCTTTTTCTTTTCTTTTCTTTTTTTTTTTTTTTTGAGACAGAGTCTCGCTCTATCACCCAGACTGGAGTGCAGTGATGCAATCTCAGCTCACTGCAGGCTCCGCCTCCCAGCTTCATGCCATTCTCCTGCCTCAGCCTCCTGAGTAGCTGGGACTACTGGTGCCCTCCACCACACCTGGCTAATTTTTTGTATTTTTAGTAGAGATGGGGTTTCACCGTGTTAGCCAGGATGGTCTCTATCTCCTGACCTCATGATCCACCTGCCCTGGCCTCCCAAAGTGCTGGGATTACAGGCTTGAGCCACTGCACCCAGCCTCCAGTGCTAAATATTTTTCTGTCTTCATTGTCAACCTTTGAAATGGTCTTGATGCTTAACTAACTTTTTTCAATTTTTTGGAATCTAGGGATTGATGATCATACATTAAAGGTTTGGGTGGTGAAAAACTACTATTGTCCTTTAGCTTTGGAAAAACATTTTACTGTCAACTTGGAGGACATATGTTTTAATTATTTAAAGCCTAGTAGCCTAAATATGATGCCCGGTGAGAATGGTATTAATATAACACTAGAGAAAGGTATATAGTATAGAAGAAAAATTAGTACTTGGGACAGGAAAATGTGAAAAACAGGTGTCTTTGTCTACATAGACAAATAGCTCTATATAGCTCTCTTATTACACAAAGTGCAAAAGTGACAACATCATCAAGCGATGTAAATGATAGCTTTTCTGGGAGAAATCCATCAAGAACAATTACTATATTAGTAACAACAAAAACACCTTATGATCACTGTAAAAGCAGAAGGTCAACAGACATTAAGAAATGTAAAAGTTGTCATTTCATAGCAGGCACAGTTATACAAACAATTTTCCAAATGGTACCCCAAAGGAAAAGCTATATTGGAAAATTAAACCTCATCCGCACCTTCTAAAAAAATCCAGTAATATCTATCTCTAACCATTTTTATAGTGACAGCTTCTCTGCCAGTTGTATTATGAGTTTCAGAAAAGGGAGAAGAGAAAGGATTGACATAGCCTCACAACTGCACAGACACTGAGCTTCTGATCTTCTGTATGTGCATACTTTAATCTATCACATTTTCAGTGGGTTTTATGTTCAACCATGGGGTTTAGCATTTGATTTCCTAGGTTACTGAGCAGTAGGCACTCTCTCTATGTTGTTGGATAAATCATTTCAGGATCAGACTATACTGGTTCCTTCTCCAAAATGCATTGTCAGTCACCCAATAAGAAATGCTTCTAACCCTCTGCTAAAGCCTCCACCTCAGCCAGGGCCACTAGGTGTCTGGTTCTTCCTTAGGTTTCACTCTCAAGAAGCACTGATAGAAAGTGTCTTAAAAATATAATCAATATACTTAATAATAGTATCAAACTTTTGCCCAATGTTGTAATCTGGTTAGAGGCTCATTCTCTAGTTCTGAAGGTGAAAGAGCTGGTTCTTTTTTCTAGTCTCTCTTTTTTCTCAGAGAGAAAACAGACTTACAGAATTGCCTCCCTGCCTTCTCAGAAAATGGGAAAATGGATTTTAACGAAGAAAGAAAGTATGAAAATGTGGTTGGAAATGTATTTGTACTTACCAGGTATACAATGATAGAGTTTTTGGATAGGGAGTAATGCTAACACTTGACAGAATAGGACAATTATTTGGCCATATTTTTGAGGATCTGATGTTGCCTTTGTTAGCCCCACTAGCTCTGAGAATCCACCTTTCTTCTCTAGAGACAACTTTTAGTCCAAACTTCCATGTCAGATTGTATAGGAGCACAACCACCTCCTACAAGTCACCTGTGATCTCCTGTGGGATGGTTTCTATAAGGTCTATACTGACAAACTTACCCAGTAAAACTGAGTTCTACAGCTCTGGTTCAAAGTTCTGTCGTTATACATTATAGCCCTTAGGCACCTTATATTCAAACTCTCACTACTTTCTGCTTGTTTAATTCCAAACGACAAGACATTCACCCACCAGGGCTCCTTGTTTGGGTCCACTCCAGCAGCTTGGAACTCTTCTTTCTTTTGGGATGACACAGTACCTTTAGGATCAAATAAGATATAGGTCACATGTTCCTTGCTTTGAAACATAACAGACACACACATACCTTTTTGTCTGTTTATTTTTTTTAAGAGTGATGCATGGATTAGACTTTCCTAGGCAAAATCCTGAAGCTTTTTAAGATGTGGAGTGCATAGAGTTCTCAAATGCTTGGTCATTTGAAAACTGCATCTCTGATGTCCTGGCTACTTGGTCACTCTTATCTTTGAAATGTAGCTTAGATCATCATAAGGACCTTTGATGGGTACTGCTGAGAGCGTTTTTTGCATACGCATAAGAAAAGATACATTTCTCTTATCACCATGAAACTGCATTGCTTCAAAAAGATGAACTAATCAGAAGCAGCTGGAATGAATTAGAGACATTGACAACTCAAAAATGAGACATAAGTGATCCTGTGGGGGAAAAGCACTTTTAAATTGTTTAAATGTGCTTGTCTAACATGTCACTAAAAGCTGTAATCTTCCATTTTCCATTAACAACTCCATCAATTTTCCTCTAATGTTTTAAATTAACTGTCTTCTCTCAAACATGATGCTGTTCAACATTTGAAGAAAATGGTCCCTGTTTTTTTTAATTCCAGATTTAGAAAACTGAAATATGCAGCACATTTTGATAAAAGTTTATTCATGCTAGAGGTTGGCATGTTTCCTATCACTTGAAATTTTAGAGCATTGCCCCCAAATAAATGTGCCTATTCTTTTATAAATTTTATGATCCCTGTGATGGCAGCATTATAACTCTGCCAAACAGGAGAAAATTACATTGTTTTTATAAAATTTCCAAGAGGTGACCTTGTTTTCACTTAACTAATTTTATGCTTGCATCCTTGTTCTCTTCTGACAATGACTTTTCTGGAGAATGAAAAACAAAAGGATAATATGAAAATATTTTAGCACCCTATATTGATGGGAGTAAGTGTACATCTATTAAAAGAGAGAAATCACCTCACCCCAATTAGTTGATATAGCACATTTGGCTAATTGGTAAAAGAAATGTTATGTTCACAGATCAGATAAAAATTGAATTTCTATATCAATCTACCAAGCAACCACTAATTAAATGTTGAGTAGATTTCCAACATGTCCTATAAGCCCTACTATGGCTGTGATGTTTTGGTTTTTACTTTAGAATGTTTATTGATTCATTTCAATTTAACAGACATTTACTATCACTTTATGCAGGCATGAAGCTAGGCACTGGGATGCAAAGAGTAATTAAATATGGGACAAGGTGTGCCAAAGAAGACTACTGGTCCTGTAGGATTGGCTGCATGTGAGAATCCACATGAGAGGCTAAGAATACTGTACACAAAGATCCTTGATGTTCTTGAGCAAATCTCTAAAAATGCAGCATATAAAAAGTGTACAGAACAGATTACAAATGAGAGGTTGGCTATGCTTAAAGTGGAACCAGATGTTAAAAAATTAGAAGACCAACTTCAAGGTGGTCAGATAGAAGAGGGGATTCATCAGGCTGAAAATGAACTGAGTCTGGTGAGAAAAACAATGCAGTGGAAACCATGGGAGGCATTAGTGGAAGAGCCTCCTGCCAATCAGTGGAAAGAGCCAATATAATTATTAAATGACTTTGGTGGGTTGAGGGAAATAGATGTAATTAAATATTCTGTTACATTAAGAGTGTGTTCATATTATTGATATTTTATAATCAAGAAAACTGATACAGAAAATAGGAGACTCGTTAAAATGAATGATTATGGTAACATCATCTTGTGAGTCAATTTTTGATTTGTAAATTTTTCACACAAATTATTTCCAAGATGATATTTCTTTGAATAAAGAGGTTGTGGGAAGATCTGAAAATTAGAAAAATTCCTACCAATCTTCAATGCAGAGACTATAATCAAAAAGTAGTTTCTATCTTCAATACACCATTTAATATTTTTATTATCCTAAAGAAGAAAAAGCCCTTAATTATTGTCTAAACAAATTTATAGATCACTGTTTGAAGTAAAGGCAATGATTATTTTCAAACTTGAAAAGCAGCACAAGTGGCTGGAATAACAATTTGAAATTATGTTTAACCTCCTTGGCTGTGATCTTATGTATATAAAGCCAAATTTAAATATATAATTATATAATAAAGCAAAAACAGCCATACTCACAAGGAGCTCAAAATTGTGAGGGGAAGGTAAAAATCATGTTTTAATTATTATGTTATAATGTGATGACATTGGATAGAAAAACTCTTTTTTTTTTTTTTTTGAGACGGAGTCTCGCTCTGTCGCCCAGGCTGGAGTGCAGCGGCCGGATCTCAGCTCACTGCAAGCTCCGCCTCCCAGGTTTATGCCATTCTCCTGCCTCAGCCTCCCGAGTAGCTGGGACTACAGGCGCCCGCCACCTCGCCCGGCTAGTTTTTTGTATTTTTTAGTAGAGATGGGGTTTCACCGTGCTATCCAGGATGGTCTCGATCTCCTGACCTCGTGATCCGCCCGTCTCGGCCTCCCACAGTGCTGGGATTACAGGCGTGAGCCACCGCGCCCAGCCAGAAAAACTCTTTTCTTATTTTAAATCACGGGAGCACAGCAGAGTGATTAATTTTTCTTGACTTGGATGACAGGAGGGATGGGGAAGACTTGAAGGAGGAGAGGACTTTTGAACTGCGTGTGGAATTATTAGAGTAAGAATAATAGAAGAATAGAAGAAAGAATAAGTGTCTTTCTCTCAGGCTTACATTAAGGCAAAAGACATGGATATGTACAAAATGTTCAGGGAAACATTGGACAAATAACTTGCCTTCTATAGCAATCTTACTTTTTTATGTGAAGAGTGATGAGAAACATGGGAAAGACACCTGGATTCAGCCTGTGAGTGATCTGACACGCCATTCCTAGGATTGTGGACCTTAAACCCTCATTATGAGAAATGATGGAAAATTTTAAACAAAGTGTGATGACCAATATTAAATATCAGGAAGATTATTTTATCATGATTTCTTCACAGAGCTTCTTTGTGTTTTGGCACCTAGATTTGCTCCTTCAAAATCCAGTGCCACACTGACACCCAACCTGAACTTTTGATGGTGACCTCATTTCTCATTTTGGTACCTAAAGGAGCCCTTATTTATTCTCAGTGTTTTGAAGTCTCATGATATATGCCTTAGAGTTTTTTTGTTATCTATTTTAGACTCAGTCATTTCATCATTGAAAATGCCCTCCATGATTTGTTTGCTAATTTCCATAATTTCACCTGTTCCATCTTTCCAAAATTCCAGGTATTTGAATACCTGTTCATCCTTCTTTTAGTTCTATTTTCTAAGTAATTTCTTTGACATTATCTTCTAATCCTTTCTAGAAAAGTGTTTGTTATTTGGAGGAAAAGCTTTTTCTTGAGAATAATTTTGATTATTTTTTTCTGTATAAACCAGGTTCTGTTTCACAGAAGTAATATCTTTTTTTTATAAAGTTTACTCTGCTCTCAAATTTATCTGTTTTTTATTACATGCTGTATTAAGTATTAAGCTAGTTAGCTAGTTAGTTGCCTTTGTGCTTTTCACATGAGAAGCTTTCTCAAAATGTGAGATAATTCTTGTCTGTCTGGTCTTATTTCCAACTAAGGCATGGAAAGCTGATTGAAAGGAGCAGAGCTTTAGAACATCTATAGAAGGCAACAAACCAGGCTGTTTTGGTTTTTTGATTGTTTTGGTTTGGTTTTGAGACAGAGTCTTGCTCTGTCACCCAGGCTTGAGTGCAGTGGTGTGATTATAGCTTATTGCAGCCTCAAACTCCTAGGTTCAAGCAATCCTCCTACCTCAGCCTCCCACCCAGCAACAGGCCCTGGTATGTGTTGTTCCCCTCCCTGTGTCCATGTGTTCTCATTGTTTAACTCCCACTTATAAGTGAGAACATGCGGTGTTTGGTTTTCTGTTTCTGTGTTTGCAGAGAATGATGGCTTCTAGCTTCATCCATGTCCCTGAAAAGGACATGATCTCATTCTTTTTTATGGCTGCCTGTTTTTAAATGAGGTTTTATTTGAATACACCATGCTCATTCATTTATGTATTGTCTAAGGCTACTTTCATGCTACAACAGCAAAGTTGCATAGCAGACCATGTTGTCCACAAAGCTGAAAGTATTTGTTCTCTGGCCCTTTATAGAAAGTTTGCTGACCCCTGCTGTCATTGAAAGCCTATTATAATTTAATTAGAGAAGACTTTATAAAATACACTCAGACTTTTCATACTTTACATTTCCAGTTGAAATTTCCAAAAAGTACACACTGACACACGAAAAAAGCAGAGAAAAGAGTCCTAGACAGAACCATCACAACCCAAACTTCTCCCAAGATAAGTAGTGTCTATTTTTCAATCTACTGAAGTATGTAATATATGCCAAGGACTATGCTAGTCACTGGGAGTACAAAGATGAATACCTGACCTTACCCTCAATGAGCCTAGAGTTCAGCAAAGAATGCAGGAAAACATGTAAACAGATGTTTATATAATGTCATGTAGCATATACTCTATAGGGGCTGTAAAGATCACTTAGAAAGCTCAGATGAAGAATTTTAAACTTTGAGCAAAATATGTTAAACTAAACATATTCATTTATTCACTGCTACCTCCCAAAATGCCACTAAAGTTAGAGTAAAAGAACTATATGTACATACACAAATATACATATACTCCTAGATACACATATACACTAATACTTAGAAGTATGCATACACAGAGACATATATATATAGGTAAGGCAAGCCACAGATATGGACAAAATATTCATAATGTGCATGTTTTACAAAGGATTTGTACCCAGAATATATACAACCTGATAATAATAAGACAGCAACTGAATAAAAATGGGCACAAGATTTGAATAGATACTTCACAAATGAAGGTATATGAAGAACAAATAAGTACAGAAACGGTGCTCAATATAGTTAGTTATCAGTAAAATGCAAATTAAAATCACAGTAAGATACTACTATATACTCACTAGAATGGCTTAGATTAAAAACACTGACTTTACCAAGTATTTACGATTTGAAGCAACTGAAACTCTCATATATTATTGATACTATGTGTGATGGTTAATTCTACGTGTCAATTTGAATGGGACATAGGGTGCCAGATATTTGGTCAAATATTATATGGGTGTGTCTCTGAAAGTGTCTTTGAATTAGATTAACATTTGGATTGTAGACCAAGTAAAGCAGATTGCCCTCCTTAACATGGGTGGGCTCCATAAAATCAAATGAAGGCTTGAATGAACACAACAAAAAGGCTGACCTTCCCAAGAGTGATAACGAACTACTGCCTGAGAGTTTTGAGCAGGAACATCAGCCTGCCTGTCTTTGGATCCCAACATCAGCTCTTCTTGGGTCTCAAGTTTGCTGGCTTTCATACGGAAATGTTCATACTAGAACCATCAGCTCTCCTGGGCCTCCATCTTCCTATATACATATATATCTATATATACTATATATAAATATATATATAATATATAATACATTATATTATATATTATATACATCTATATATAATATATAATACATTATATTATATATTATATACATCTATATATAATATATAATACATTATATTATATACTATATACATCTATATATAATATATAATACATTATATTATATACTATATACATCTATATATAATATATAATACATTATATTGTATATTATATACATCTATATATAATATATAATACATTATATTATATATTATATACATCTATATATAATATAGATATCTATATATAATATATAATTATATATTACAATATATTATAATATATAAATATATATAATTAGATAATTAGATAATATAATATATATTATATTTATTTATATATAATATAATATATATTATATTATTTATTTATAATAATAATAATAACAACAAAAAGGCTGACCTTCCCAAGAGTGATAACGAACTACTGCCTGAGAGTTTTGAGCAGGAACATCAGCCTGCCTGTCTTTGGATCCCAACATCAGCTCTTCTTGGGTCTCAAGTTTGTGGGAGTGGATATTAAAGGTGTGGGATAATGGTAGAGAAACATAAAGTTGGACCAGGATGAATTTATTGAAATGGGCTCACAAAGTAGAGATTCTGTATTATATTATATATAATATTTATTATATTATATATAGTATATTATATATTATGTATATAAATATAATATATAAATAATATAAGTATATATAATATATAATATAATTTATAATATAATATATTATATGTTATATAAATATATACAATTAATATATAATATATATTTATTTAATATATAACATATATTTATATATAAAAATCATATAATATATATTTATATATTATATAATATATACTATCATATAATATATATTATTATAGCAAAATATATATACAACAAAATACACACACACACATACACACAGATATCATATTACTTCTGTTTCTCTGGATAACCCAGACTAGCACATATTTTGGAACCAAGAGTAGTCCTAGAGAAATAGAATCTTAAGTATGAGTTATCAAAACTGACTCTAGTGTTTCTGTGATTGGATCTATAATCTGATTAAAGACACTAACGACTCTAAATTCAGTAGAAAAGAGAGCATTG